TATCGTATGGATTATTTTCATATTCAATTGGATCTTGGATAAAAAATTCACCTCTGTCCACAAATCAATTCATAAAATGCCGCAATGCAGTGATAATTCCTGATGAATATTTCCTTACCTGGCCATTTTCCGTAACCATTGTTGGTTTAAAAAAAGGACACTAAAATATTGCACGAATTATTGTACTTTTTGGAAAAAATCACTTTTATTAACCAGGAAACTCCATGCTCGGAGCATGACCAACACTGTGCCACTGAAAAGCCGGCTCCGACGACCCCCTCTAAAACAGATATCGAACCGAGCAAGAGGGCGCTAACGTACAAAAGGCTCTATTTTGTGGCTATTGAGCCAAATATTATTTCGGACAAAGTCACTAGATTTCCAAAAGAAGAATCCGGAAAAACAAAAAATATATTACTACAGGTGTCAAAGCTTTCGCTTCCACATTATAAATTCTATTAATAAATAACTAGGACTTTTGTTATTTTTGGAATTAGTAAATAGAAGTCTTTTTGATTTTGTTGGTTTTGATATTTGAGACTAAATGATTTTGCTTTTACAAACAAACCCTCGTTTACATATTCCGTCATTATCTGGCCCGATCAATATCAGACAGGAGGGGTGGAATAATAGGTGTAGCGAGTAAAGTGAGGCAGAAAGTCAGCTGAAATTTGCGTCATAATTTGTTACTTCACAAGTTTTGAGTAAAATTTCAACTTTGAAGCATAATTTCTCAGGAAGTTGATTCGTTGAGAAATGAGAATTACCAAAGCTGTGAGCAAAACAATGAGGCTATGTCAGACTGAAAGAAAATTTTTGAGGGCAAAATTGAGATTTTTGGCAAAGTCCCTTTCGATTAAAAATTTCGGTTTTTCAAGTCTACCCCCTTTGGATTTTTCATTCAAAATCTTTCAGTTTGCAGTTCTTGAAATTCGATATTTCTGGCTATCTCTTCAAATAGGTGAGATAGGTGTGGGTGCATAATATAGACAATCACCTGGTACTTCAATATACTGTATTTAGAAAATATATTTATCACTTATGGTTTCTGAGCTTATCGATCTTGAAGTTTTTTGATGAAATCTGAGTAAAATTTCAACTTTGAAATTTCTCAAAACTTATAAAAGCAATTGGTATAATTTATGGAGGTTTTATAGAGAATTTAATCCTCTTTCAGAGTTCAGAAAACCTTTAATACAAGTTGAGAATTACCAAAGTTCTAAGCAGATTTTTGAGACCATGTTGAAATTTTTGAGATCAAAATTATTGAGTTTCAATAGAAGAATTGCAATTTTTCGAAATTGAAACTTAAAACTTAAAATTTTCTCAAATGCAGTTAATGGGGAACTTGACTTTTTTATTGCTGATTTCATAAGTCGATGAAAAATAAGTCAACAGTGTTTTTTCTTCAATAATCAATTTAAATTTTCAGTGAAGTTCAGAGGCGGATTAAGACACTGGTGGGCCCGGTGCTAATTAATTTTTTGGGAACCCTATTTTTTTAGATACAGAACTATTATTGATTATGCTGCCAAAGAAAGGTGCGTCTTTCCTTTATACGTACCATGACGCAAGGTTGTTTGAGAGAGGTGTAGGTTGCCTGGATAAGTTTATGACGTCATTTGGAGTGCCTCAAAATAATGCAATTCCCCAATAAGGATCAATTTTAAGCAGCTGATATTGCAGGGTTGCCTGTCATAAACAAACTAAATAAAGTAACCACCAAAGAAACACAGCAACTCGAAGTGACGCATGATATCCTCAACTGGATTGGCAACGCCGCACAAGAAGTATGTCACAAAAAAACGCTCTCCATTGTTTGACAAAGATAGACTTATGCTAGATCATATACCTCTTTTTCTCTTTTTTTGTTCCAAAATCCGTACATTAGGTAAATAGGTAAGGCGTGATATACGTCAGTATAATAGGTATGTATTATGGTCTGGTAAATATTACTGTGACTAAATAAACCTTTACATACAGTGGCGACAATAGAGGTTCCGCCGCCATTTTGGGGCTTACCTCTTGCTAATTTTGAATATGAATATAGAGGATTTAGGTATGGCCGTTTGCACCGACCATTTTAGGGTTAGCGATAAGTATTCCCTAAAGTGACATTTCTCCATGTAAAAATATCATGTTAAGGGCCAGTTTTACAAACAGTGTTAACCACAAGACCAGTGGCGGCTCGTGACTATTTCAAGTGAGGAAGCTAAAAAAAAAATGAATTACGGTAAGGTAACCACTGCCATTAATGCATAGAAAAAAGATAAAAAAAAGCAAGGATAGCAGTTTTCAACTATGCGTGCGGCTAGCCGCTCTTCGAGACTATGGTCGCTGAACGCCAGTAGTGGTTCGATATGTTTCCGGCATTCCTATTGGACGCTCAGATCCGCGGTCCATTTGAATGGTAGATTTCAGTGAAGCATGTGAGAGTCTAGCCTCCAGTCGACCTCTAATGTCAGAATAATTGCAGGACAGGGATTCTGACAAAGTGGCCTCATGTCGGGTACCCGCAATTTTTTTCTAGTCAAAATCCAAATTTCCTTTCTCATTTTTTTCCGGCCTTAAGATGCGCCGTAGCGAGGAGACTCAAATTAACTTTTCGTCGTATTTTTTGCTTTTCTTTCCAATTTTTTTTTTTTTTTTTCGAAATTCAAAATTTGAATTTTTTCGAAAACAAAATCTATAGGGATAAATAAGCCTTTCCATCTTTTTTTTTTTTTTTTAAAGCGACCTAACTCGAAAACGAAAAGCTTGGGAGAAAAACTCTAAATGCAAAATTTGTAGCTCTCGCCAAATACTACAAAAAAGCCTATAAGAAGTATTCCTCCACGGAGCACCGTTTTCGAGAAAATCGACTTCGAAAATTTTAACAAAATTACAAAAAATTTCAACTTTGATGGCTGATATCTCAAAGACAAAAACGGCCTAGCATCTCAATAAAAAAACATTTTGTAGGTAATTCCATCCTCTTTCAAAAGGGATATAACTCGAAACGATTGGTTGAGAAATAGCGGATCTATAAGCGAAAAAGTAACGACGTGTCAGGTACCGACAATTTTTTTCTGGTCAAAATCGACATTTCCTTTTTTATTTTTTTTCGGCCTTAAGATGTACCGTAGCGAGGAGAGTCAAATTAACTTTTCGTGGTATTTTTTGCTCCTCTATCCGATGGATTTTTTTTTTTTTGAAATTTAAAATTTGAATTTTTTCGACAAAAAAATTCGATTTATTTTTTCTAATTTTCAAAGCGTCCTAACTCGAAAACAAAAAGCTCGGGAGAAAAACTTCAAATAAAAAACTTATAGATCTTATTAAGTACTACAAAAAAGCCTATAAGAAGTATCCCACCACAGGACGCCGTTTTCGAGAAAATCGACCTGGAAAATTTTAACAAAATTACAAAGAATTTCAACTTTGACAGCTGATATCTCAAAGACAAAAACAGCCTAGAATCTCAATAAAAAACATTTTATAGGTAATTTCATTCTCTTTCGAAAGAGATATAACTCGAAACGATCGGTTGAGAAATAGCGGAGCTGTAAGCGAAAAAGTAACGACGTGTCAGATGGCTGAAATTTTTGTCTGGCCAAAATCGAAATATCCTTTTTTAATTTTTTCCCGGCCCACAAATGCGTCATAGCAAGCAGGGTCATATAAGCTTTTCAACGTTTTTTTTGCTCTTCTATCCGATGGTATTTTTATCTTTTGGAAATTCAGAAAAAAAAATTCCAAATCAAGAAAGATGGGGAGGCTAACTTTTTTGCGGTACATCAGAGAGAACTGAAACTCGGAATATCGACTAAATATCACATTTTGAATATTCCCGATTTTTGATTGGCTCCAAATTATCCGCTGACCAATAGAATTATAGACTAGGCTCCGTGATTAAAATAACTCTAGCCCTTCGGGCTTGCGTATAACTCCGGCCCTTCGGGCTCGCGTATAACTCCGGCCCTTCGGGCTCGCGTATAACTCCGGCCCTTCGGGCTCGCGTATAACTCCGGCCCTTTGGGCCGGATTAAATTTTCAATCTTTTGAGGGAGGCTTAGCCTCCCCTGCCTCCTCTGACGAGCCGCCACTGCACAAGACACTGGTAACACTGGTAACACTGGTAACCCATAATATATCTGGTTTGAAATGTTTTGTTGAGCCAAAACCATCAAAGTTCAGGTTATTTAACTCAATTCTTATTTTGCAAACTTGTGGTTAAACCGCAACTTTTAGGCCCAGTTTCACAATTGGTGGAACCTCCAGTGGTTATTGAACTAAGGCCCAGTTTCACAATCAGTGGTAACTTGCACTGGTTATCAAACTCATAGTTGCGGGTTGACCACATTGAATAATCGGGAACTTGTGCATGAAACAAATATATTGAAGGTTACCAGTGTCTTCTGGTTACCGTTGGGTTACCACTGGCCCTAATAGTTGCGGGTTGACCACAAGCTTGCAAAATAAGTCTTGGGTTAAATATTCTGTAGCTTGACCAAATGGTTTTGGCTAAACTACTATGAAACATATATACCTGGGGGTGGGTTACCAGTGTGTTTTAGTTACCGTTGGGATACCGCTGTTTGTGAAACTGGCCCTTAGTTTGATAACTAGTGTAGGATACCACCAATTGTGAAACTAGGCCACAGGAATAAGAAAACAACTTAAATTGAAGCTTATGACTGTTAATTGCTAGAAGCTGATGCTGCAAAGTGACTTAAGCTTGCAAATTTGCTGTCAACTGTCTCATTTTCATTCAAACAGTTCTTCAACAGAATTTCTAGCATAAGTATGAAATTCGATTCTTGAAATTTCAAAACCACAATTCGGATTAGGTTTTAATTAACTTTTTAAGCTTAGTTTGGACGCGTTCCAAAAACACTTTATGGCATTTCAACATAATAGGCCATGCCATAGGATAATCAATTTTCCATTTAGGGGAGGGTAACAGGTTGAACAGTGCCAGGGAATTGATCGTTTCAATTTTTAATTATTCAGTGGCTTACCTTAACGTCAATGCTTGTAATCGAAGGAAAACGTTTCTTCATTAAATCTGACATTTTTCTAGTAGTAAGTAAATATTTACACTATAAACAAAAATATAAATTTTTGTTGCATATAAATAGATTCTTTTATAAATCAATAAAGTGCATCCATTCAAAAAATTGCTTGCTGGCAACCCGTCAAAAATAACAAATAAAAATTCAATAGTAGAGTTACGAATATTCTAAATTTGAAAAATTGGGTAATTCTTTAAAATATGCAACAAAAACAGACACAAAACTTCCAGGTCCGGTCGTGCGTAAAGTCGCTATATTACGCACGGTTCGTTTTTCGATATTTTTCGTTTTTTTTTTCTCGGACCGACCGCGAAAGAGCCAAAGCCTACAGCGAAGGAATACACTATAATAGCGCGAATTTTCAATTTGGTCCGTTATTTTTAGCTTCGGGCTATTTTAAGTCCCCCCCGCAAGACCGAACTGAAAACACTATTGACATAATATTTTTGCTCTACGTATAAATTAACTCCCAGATTAACTACCGGATAGAATTAATCGTATATGGCTCATTATAATTAAGTAACTGTACCTATTGTGGATGAGGTTTGCATACATAATTTCAAAAACGCAATTTTTTCATTAAATGATTACTAGAAAATTTCAACCAGAAAACAGTTTGAATAGAAATTATATTATAATATGTTGGTATAACCATCAAAACGAGTGGATTGTTTCCAATTTCCTCCAAATCTTTTGGATTTTTGTTTGGAACTAGTGTGTCCATTTTCCAATATTAAACCTTACTGCAGTTTTACCAAAATCCTATACATTTGACTCCATTAAAACTATTTCCAAGCTCGTAAATTTCACACGGAAATTATGGTGTCGTAAAGAGAAGAATTTTGTATGTATAAAAATGAGCTTTTAATTGCAGTTAGTACCACAGTACAGGAACTACATTTAGTTGCTTCTTTTCATACAAATTCAAGTACCGTTTTGGTATTTATGACTCTAGTTGGATACGCCTGGCTTCACATCGTTTGCACTTGCCACCAACCATGATGTCATCTAAAATAATACATGAATTTCTCGTATATGTTTTATAGTCTGTTTATTATCCATTAAACCATGACGTCATGTTAAAATCTAATACAATTAATTGTCGTCGCTCTAATAATTATCCTTGCATAAGAAAATAACAAACGTAAATATTTATCAAAAACAGATGCCAAATATATGGCACAATAACTATTAGGAAACAGGAAGATACGACAAAACAAAAACATCCATATTTCAGAAGCTCACCTAATTTAAAATAAAACTAAAACTTTTATTTCGCTATTGGCGCTTTTTCAAAGCTCTCACAGGCCTTGACCGTTGTAATAGCGCCATGTCCGGCTGACAATGAATAAGTACAAAGTGTTAGACCAATTGTTGGCATTCTATTGACGGATTTATTTTGTTTTGGGTTGCGTAAGGGAACAAAGGACATCATGTTAAAATTGGTCAGAATTTTGTTTCAAATTTTGTACAAATTGTAAAAAGAAGAATAATTCTCACCCCAATACAGCCAGAACTCTTGGGACTAGAACCACTTAAACTCATACTTTATTATCAGCGTTCAAATGTTGTGTAAGACATTTTGTTTGCAACTGAAACTTCCCTCTGGAAACAATGCGGCAAAAAGAAAGTTGGCCAAAATAAGATGCCAAACTCCGCCTTTTAGTTCTCAAAAAGGTGTTTATGTGCCAAATTTTTTCCAGTTTACAATCGATAAATGAAAATTGATTCCTCTATAGAAAGTATTATTTCAATTTGCTACAATATTTGAGATTTTTAGTTTTCTATAGAAAATAAAACCATTATTAAAGTTTAAAATGTAAGTTGCCGTGTTTCCGGGACTATAAACTGTACGATTTTATGAGTTTTTCTAGTCGTATTGGCACCGTCCTTATTGATTCCAGGGAGAACTAATTTTCCAGCGAGAAAACTAAATTTAGCGCAGATCAGAGACATCTCCCAGGAAAGGCAGGCAACTACGTGTTTATTTTCAAGCAGGAATTTGCAGGATTTTATGCCCGATGGTGAAGATATTCTAGTATCCAATAATAAGTTATCAGATGTGGTTGTCTCATAAAGAATAATATTCCTGCAATATTTATCAATTGAATATTATTGATATACCAAAGAAGTTTGAGCATTTTAGGAGTGCATGGGAGCAAGTTCAGTGTCTATCCGAGTTGACTTCAAGATTGCTATTAGAAGAAGACAAATATAAGTCCACTGAGGAGCACACTGCTTCAATTGCTGGGTATAGCAAAGGAAATGAAAGACAGATATTTCTTGTTCCCTAGACTATTTTGATGAGTGTATGTAATTAATTGAAGGTAGCAGGTGAGCAGGAATAAAAAATTAGAAAAAAATATGGCTGCAGCAAAGAACAATTACAATACCTATCTAATTACTAAATGGTAATAGGTAATTATTATTTTTTTTTTTTTTTACGGATATGCGCACTCGCAAGGAAATGTCCTATCACGCTCGAGAAGCGGCAAGTGCGCGGAAATGTCGGTGTATGTTGGTCTTGAAACGGTTCAGGTTGTAACCTGCAGGGAAAACCGTCGCAGGGAGTTTATTCCACAGCGATGCTGTTCTCCAGAGACATGAATTCTGATATAATGAGGTTCTTGGTGCCTCTAGTTTGACAGTAAATTCATGGTTACCGTCTGTTTGACGGGTTCGCCTGGTAGGCGCTACTCTCGGTGGAATCATACGTGCCAACTCTTCAGAGCATTTTCCGTGATAGTACCTGTAGAAGAGAGATAAATCGCCCACAGATCTGAGATCTGCGATGTTCGAGACCATCCAAGTTACGAGTAAGTGCGGGGTCATTGATCAGCTTGATAGCTCGTTTTTGCACGGTGTTCAAAAGCATTAAGGTATGTTTGGGTGCTGCACTCCATATATGTGAGCAGTACTCCATAGTTGGTCGAATCTGGGCTTTGTAGAGTGTCAGCAATTGGCTTGGTGTGTACAGATGTCTTGTACGAAATAGCACCCCCAGCTTTTGGGACGCCCTTTTAGCAATATCTGCCACGTGACTGTGCCAAGACATGTTGGTCTCTGCAGTAACCCCCAAGATGTTCAACTGACTCTGTAATGTGACAGCACTTCCAGATAGCATGATGTTTGGCTCACCGGTGCTGGTCTTTTTTGAAAACAGAGCTGCTTGGGTTTTCTGCGCGTTGAACTGTACAAGGTTTTTGTTACCCCAGTCCTCTATTATCTCCAGGTCGTTATTTATCTGCGATATCTGAGTTAGTCTGGGATGATGGAATTCACGTGCGGAAAGACCTGTGGGTGGTATGAGTGAGGAGACTACACTGCCATCGTCTGCAAAGCAATAAAGTGGATTTACTGTTTTATCTATGAGGTCATTTATGTAAATCAGGAAAAGAGTTGGCGAAAGGATTGCTCCCTGTGGCACACCAGCATTTATTTGGTAAGAGTTGGAGTTCTGGCCATCCAGTGCAACATAAATGGATCTGTCCTTTAGGTAACTTTCAAACCAAATGCAAAGTTTCGGCGATAATCCCATTGCTTTGAGCTTGTTGAGCAGATTTTCATGCCAAACTTTGTCGAATGCTTTAGATATATCTAAGGCAATTGTTCTTGTTTCACCCCGCAACTCAATCGCTTTTTGCCATAAGTGAGTGACGTACATATGTAAGTGAATCGCCAGTTGACCTATATTTTCGAAATCCGTATTGCTTATCGTTGATAATTTTGTACTTTTCCAAGTACTTGGGTAGGTGATTGTTCACAACTCTTTCCATTACTTTTGATATCACCGGAAGTAGAGCAATTGGTCTATAGTTTAACGGATCTGTCTTTTTCCTTTCTTTGGAATGGGTTGTACTGCAGCAGACTTCCATGATGATGGAAATACTCCTTGCCTGTAAGACAAATTGAATAATTTTGCGAAAGTTGGGGTGAGTTCGTTGGCGCAATTTTTGAGTACTATTGCGGGAATGCCATCCGGACCCATTGCTTTGTTTGTATCTAGCTTTTTAAGGGATTTTCGTATTTCTCTGTGACAAAAGGGTACCTCTGGCATACTATGGGAAACCCTTTCAATGAACGGTGGAGTTTTTCCGTTTGGCACTGTTAGGTTGGAGTTGGAGGAAAACATTTGGGCCAGCATATTGGCTTTTTCCTCTGATGTTGTGGCTAAGTGATTATTTTTATCTGTAAGTGGTGGTATGGATGACTTGGTGAAGTTAGATCCAACAGCTTTTGCAAGAGACCAAAAGGACCTAGAACTACTTGGACAATTCAGCAACCTGTTTTTTATTCTTTGATTGTATGTTTCTTTAGCGGAGTCAATAGTAATTTTGTAACTATTTCTGGCTTCTATAAATTCTGTGTGGTTTTGAGCGGTTTGTTGTCGTTTCCAAAGGTTATATGCTCTGTGTTTTTTCTGTACAGCCGTTTGACACTGGCTATTGAACCAAGGTTTTGCATTAGCTCCACGATTAGTTGTATGTGGGATATATGCATACATTCCAAATAAGATTACTTGTGTTATTTCATTACAGCAAATAGTGCGATCAGCTGTTTTAAAGCAAACCTCTTGCCATGGAAAATCCAGGTAAAACTGTTTTAGGTCATTCCATTTTGCCGATTTATAGTGCCACATTTTACGAGGAAGTGGTTGTTGGCTTGGTGGGATGAGCATTTCGCACTTTGTTATTATAAGTTTATGATCGGACGAACCAAGTGGAGCATCTACTTGAATTGTGTACGAGTCAGGATTTGTGGTTAGGAACAAGTCTAAAAGCGCTGCAAATTCGCCCCTTTCTGAGATACGGGTAGGTTCATCGACAAGCTGCGTTAGACCACAACTTATGGCAAAAGCTTCAGCTTCTCTGCCTTCGTTATCTGTTTTGTTGTGGTGTTTCAGCCAGGGTATATTGTGGACGTTGAAATCGCCTAAAAAGACAATTTCCGCCTGTGGATAGTTTGACTGTATACTATCACAGCTTTCGGAGAATGTCGCGAAAAAGTTTTGGTACTCGGTTTTAGATGACGGTCGGTAGAGGCAGCAGATAAACTTGGTCGATGACTTTGAGGTGAATTTTAGCCATATGATATCAAGGTTCGCTGGTTCTAGCTTCTCCTCTCGATGACATGAAAGGTCATTTTTAATGTACAAACAGATCCAAAATTATGTCGAAATCGGTGGTGTAGGTTATAGCCGGGATAAAGATAGTTCACAATAGGTGTTGCAGAACTGATTTTAGTTTCAGTGAGAACAAGGATGTCAGGTCTTTGTTCTTCAAGATGTTGGTGAACTGAATTCATATTTGTACTTATTCCTCTTATATTGCTAAAATCAATTCTGAGTTGAGTTTTTGATCTTCTCTTTATATCTTTGCATGAAGGACCCCCAGGATCACCCGACGCCCGGA